ATGCATACAGCAATTGCTACCCAGAATTTTTTAAACAATGCCAATGTCCAAGTCCTGGATTGGCCGTCGCTTAGCCCCGATCTTAATCCTATTGAACACATCTGGGACGAACTGGGTCGACGTTTTCGTCAGCAAGTGAATCCACCACTGACAGTGCAGGACCTTCAACATGCTCTTTCTGAGCAGTGGGGACGTCTTCCTCGGGTAGTATTTACTAATGTTCTGAGATCCATGAGAAGACGTTGTGTGGCAGTACGAGACGCTAGAGGAGGCCACAACCGTTACTAAACACTTTATTCCGATTGTTCTCCAAGTCTGTGAATTTCATTTTGGGGGGTACTGTGACATCACGAACGTTATCAATGTCAAGGACATTCGGCGAGACGTATTCTTGCTTTCTGTTGATGTCAAGGTCGTCATAAACCAAATATTAAAAATCTAGTCCAAAAAATCCCGAGTGTCAAGTTTTTAATTTGGCTGAGTATATGTCAAATTTAGTGTAAATTATGGGTACCCTATCGATTGTCCGTTTATTCTTTCATTAGTTAGCAGTTTTCCTTTGTAACAAATGTTAGATTTTTTTTTTATCAACTTTGGTGCGAAGTATTGGGCCAACGGTTGCATCACAACGTGGATACACTATCATATAAGGTTTCATATAAACTCAGGATCTCGAGAAAATTTACACAGGATGTCCATTTCTCGAGAACATTAACTCGAACTCTCGAGAATTTACACAGGATGTCAATATCCCAGGAAAATTATCAGGGGATTTCGAGATTATTAAATTGAGATCTCGAGAAAATTACCAGGGACCTTATTCACGAAAACTTAAACTAAGTTAAAACCGAAATTTTAAGAAATACTGCAACTTCATTGGATATATGCAAATTGATTTTACTGGTCAGCCAATCGAATTGCAGTATTTCTTAAAATTTCGATTGTATCTTAGTTTAAGTTTTCGTGAATAAGGGCCCAGGTGATCACGGGATTTCGAGAAAGTATCACAGGATCGCCGGATCTCGAGACCTTCTACAAAATTTTGCATGACCCCTATACGCTTCCGTACTGAGGGAATCTTTCGATTATTTAATTGTTGGAGCATTGTTTTCTTCTTTATAAAACAGTATTTTATTAAAATTACATTGGCAATTTATCACTCCTAAAAAGGCACAGTCAATTCCAGTCTCGTCCAGTATGCATTCAGTCCACTTATTATATATAATACCCATGAAATTATCATGTTTGCCCGTTGTTGACAGGGAAAATTCTATTATTGCATCGCGTCAAATAGGCGGATTTTAGGCAAAATGATAGGGGAAATTATTTTGGGAATACCTAACCGCGTTTTAGGCCATCGGTACGAAACTGACTTTGTCAAATTCTGAACATACCGCCGGTTCGACTTAGGCGAAGGAAAAAAGCCTGAATTGGATCAAAGATCAAAGGGTCCAAACGATTTTGTCCGAGTTGAGCGAAGATCCGACTTATACGAATTCGACTTATGCGAGGTTTACTGTATTTAAAATGTGAATAACATTTATCCTGGATCAGTGGATATTGTCATTATTATAATGGTCTGCTAAATTTGAGGTTTTTGATGCTGACCGATGCCTATATAATAAACAATAATATTGCTAGAAGAATTTCTCAAAAGAATAGTACGCCTATAACGTACTATTAATTTTTATAGGTAATTTAATGGAATTTGGGCAGGTGAATAAGATTGTATAAGATCGATTAAAAAAGATAACTAAAGATAATGTGTATCGTTTTACGATTATAATTGTAATATATAAATAATAAGTAACAATCATTCATATACAGCCGCAAATCATTGAAATCACTCAATAAAAGCATAAGTTAGTACAGTAATTTAAAGAAGCTGTCGTTAATTTAAATCGATCTTATGTCACCACCTTTTTTAACTGTAATGTTTTGAAATGAATTTATATCGATTTTTAGGTTTTTTCAGTAATTAGTGTTGTTTTTTGGATATTTAGTGATTTTTTGGCATTTAGCATTTTTCAGATTTTTTCGGTTATTAGTATCAAATATTTTTTTTTCAGTGTTTTTAGGCGGGTACTTTTTGGACTTTTTTTTTTAGAATTTTTCGGAAATTTTCGGTATATACATTAGTAATTAAAATAAGTCAATCTGATTGGATATAGTCACACATACAGCTGTCTAGTCGTTCGGGTGAGATGAAAAACCAAGGTCCCCCGAACACATTGGCTTGCACATATAGGATCCCTTTGGCAGTTGGAAGGAAATAAAAGAGTAGGCCATAGCGCTGCTGCCCCGGGCAAAATAGATTGTGCAAAGATTTAAAGTGGAAACATTCTTGTTAGTTAGTACAGGGCTTATGTCAAAGCCCCAATGTGTGGTCAAGTTTCAGTTTGAGTTAGCTCTTTAAATTTTTAACTTTGTCTTCTGAACCACATCGTGGATTTTAATTTTAACCAAATTTGGTGGTAGATACATTTATATGCTACTGGTGATCTTTATTCTGATTTGTTCAGATAAGGTAGATAATTAATGGCCCAAGAGGACCATTCAGGACACGATAGCATGGCAGAATGTAGAACACATACAGAATGGCATGCATATAATAGTACTAATTAGATAAAATACATGTACATATCACAGGATGACATGTATGATTAAATACAGGTGATAAAAAACATACATATCACATAGATTAGATACATAAATGATAAAACAAACAATAATACTTCATAGAAATATCAAAGGTAGCTCATATCTCATTGTCTCATAGGGGTCAAATTTTAACATTTTTAGACTTTTAGGTTAAGGTCGACAGACATATGAACCTTGAAGGACAATATTGCTGTCATTCATGATCACATATGTGATAGAACTCGTTAAACACATTCCAAATATAATTTTAAGACAAAGATCACATATCCTCTCACAGTCTCATATAACAACTTTTGGTTTTCGAAGGAATTATTAGTGAGCAAAATTTCGTCCGTGTATCTGTTATCACTCGTCACTTCAGTCAGTTATAACTCTTGTTTTCCTTTTGTATTCGTCACAACACATCTATCGTAGCAATGATCTCTGTGTTAAAATTATATTTGGAACGTGTTAAACCAGTTCTGTCACATATGTGGTAATGACTGATAGCAATATTGTCCTTTAATTCCCGATGCACCATTTTAGAGCCATAGAAATCTCTCGCAAACTACAATATTGTGAAAGATTAATCTCCAAAAGGAATATCCATCCAAAAATGGTCCGATTCTACTCATTATTTACAAAGAAATGTGGAAATGAAATTTCATTGATCTATGTAGCTTCCCTGTGTAATAAGCTAACTTTCATTTTGTTTGTCTGCGAGAATTTATTGGTAGTCCTGTTTTAAATACGATCGAATCTAAGTCGGGACATTAGTATTTTCATTTTGTTTTCTTTATTAAATATTAAATCAGATGGATTAAGCTTTGAAAAATTTGATATTTTAGAAAAAATCACTACTTATAGGGACAAATTTAGACATTCCGACTTAAAGGGACAAATTTAGACATTCTGACAGATTTTCGACAATATATCTTTGGGTGAGGCTTATGTTGAATTTGAAAGTCTCTCACTTGTGTGGTTGTTTTGGTGGGGGCATCTTAGATGCATAAAATGCTGATTTTTTTTTTTTGAACATTTTCAGTCATATTTGGTGGTTCTTTTTTAGATTTGATTAGATAATTTGACTGTCTCATAGAGGTAAAAATAAGGTTCGAAATTAACATGTGCAGACATTAGTGACTTCTCATAAACTAGATCTGGACTAGGACACTTTTTTGGAACACTTTGAATGGTCAAATTTAGTTAATTTACACTTTAGTATGTATACTTGAAATAACATCGCATGGCCCCATAGGGATTTGACAGAACCAACTTAAAAGGACAGATGAAAGATTCAAATTATTAGTAGGCCTATGTTGGTTAAGTGGGTAAGACGCTGACTCGCTACTCGATCTGCATTGGCCAAGAAAGTTCATCAGGATTTTCCAGCGTGGTTTCCCCTTGTCAGTAGAGCAGGATGGAGGGCCTGACAAGGACAGCTGTCTAGTCATTTGGATGGGTAGAAAAACTGAGGTCCTGTGTATACATTGGTGTGTATGTAAAAGATCCCTAGGCAGTTAGAATTTGATATAAGAGTACACCATGGTGCCGCTGCCCGCGCAATATTTCCCTCATAGCGCTCTGTATCGGGTATGCCTGTCTTCATTAGCCCAGTCGGAGCAGAACAGTAGGACGTTAAACCCAATTTTATTTTCTTGATAGAACATAATTAACCAAAATGATAATGCTGAGCGATAAAGCCAATATAGACACCTATTTTCGATGATTTTTTCAGTCACAGTCCATTAAAAGGAGAACTAAAAGATGGAGTCTATGCTGCAGATTGTCAAAACTGTGGACATTTTTTCAAGTTTAGAGCTGAAGGTCCAGTTCGATCAACTTTTTCTATGACAATAAATGGACAAAGTTACACAGGTAAACTTAGCATTTCCTCCTTCTATTAATGAATGTTGGTAGAAAGAGGTGGGGAAGGGGGAATATGTGAATGTTGATCTATTTTTTGTAGATTTATTGATCTGAACTACATTCTGGATTAATTTTATCTTCTTAATATTTTCATGTAACCAAGATGGTTGTAATATCAATTGGAAAACAGCTTTAAATCAGAAATGTGAAATTTTCACAAACAGTTTTTGATTTCGTATGAGAGAGAGAGGGGGGGTTTATCATCCACTCGACACAAACTAGGTCATTTCAGGACTAACATATAGTTCAATTTTATTTCAATAATTCGCTTGCTTTGGAACACACTAACTATGATTCGAACTATGCATCATTGATTTGACTAAGTTTAACAATAAGCATTTTCTGGTCGGGGTTTAAATGATAACCAATTTGTTTTCTCCGTGCTTTATGAAAAGAAAGAAGTGCAAGTAATTAATTAATTAAGGATTAAGATGGGGCACATTAGCCTTACTGATGGCCTGCTTTTATTTGTAGTTGATAACTCGTATCCAGGAAGTACGTCTCTAAATGAGTTTTTACGTCAGAAAGGAATATCCCCAGGAACTAAAGTGATGTGTATAGAGGGAGGATGTGGTGTATGTGTCGTGTCGGCCACCATAATGGATCCAGTCATAAGTAAACCAAGGACTTATACTGTTAATTCTGTAAGTTTTTTTAATTCCCAAATTATAGTGTTGAAATGAATTAACACACTACTTTTCGGCCAGACTGGGCTAATATAGTTCAGCTCTGAACGTAGGTCTCATTACACTCGGAGGGTAATGAGACCTACGTTCAGAGCTGAACTAGGGCTAATGATGATGAGCATATGCCATGTTGAGTGCTATGAGGGAAGTTTTGCCTAGACAGCTGCACTACACCCTACTCTTATTTCAAATTCAAATTGTCAATTGTTATTTTACATGCACACCAATCAGGTAAGTGCTGCCATGATATATCTTGGAATTGATGTGTAGGCCTATTCGACTTATAACAAAAGCTGTTCTTCCAAAAGAAAATGTGCCTAGTAGTTTGAATGGGATAAAAAACCAATTGTGTACATATTGGTTAGCAAGAACCCTTGGCAGTTGAAATTCTGTGAAGAGTAGGCATAAATACAGCTGTCCAGGTAATATTACCCACCTTGCTTTCTATGTAGAGTGGTTGAAAATCTAGGTGTCTGGACAAAATTTGTCCACCTAATTACTTTGCATATAATATAACCTCATTATTTGCATAAGATAGATGTATGTATATTTTATACCTGTATTTATTACTGTTATGCACATACTACTTACTACATGTCATGATTATGTGTATATTACAGTGTTGTATACCATATTATATATATGTGTGTGTATAAATAGCAGTGTTATATTATATCATGATTATGTGTATATTACAGCGTTGTATATATCATATTATCATGTATATTATAGTGTTGTATATAATATATTATATTATGTGTATATTACAGTGTTGTGTACCATTGTTACAATGTGATGGTTGGGATATAACTACAATAGAAGGTTTAGGTAACACTAGAGATGGTATTAATCCTATACAACAACGTCTAGCTGATTATAATGGTACACAATGTGGTTTCTGTAGTCCCGGTCAGGTCATGTCTATGTACAGGTCAGATATTATTTGCATATTAAAGTGATCATACAACATATCCCTCTTCGACCAAAGTGCTTTTACAGCTCCTCTGTGTAACAGTTGTGACACACAATATACTGAAATTAACAGATGCCAGCTAGTGGATATGTTAATAAGCCCTCAAAATCAAATCATCTGGAACAATAAGCATATAAAGATTAACAAAAAACCTTTAATAGATAAAGAATTGATGAATGATAATATTTTATTTTTGGTTGACTGTAGAGAAGACTTTTTAATCAATAGGATAATGAATAGTAATAAAATATTAAGAATGAAAAGCGTTTGCTTAGCAGTTAAAGAGTTTTTGGATACAATCGACTACGAACCTACGCCTATAGTAAGAAAACAAAGCGTGTTTGATATTATTAATAACAACTGTATAAATATATATAAAAAATCACTAGATAAGATTAAAGCAAAAGACATTTATTCAATACGAGTAGATTCTAAATACAGTAAACCATTAGCAATAAGTAAATGGGAAGAAGAGAATAGTTTTATACTTGAAGAACGTGAAACCTCATGTATATTCAATTTGGTCTATAAAACGAGCACTGATACTAGATTACAAAATTTTCAATTTAAATACCTCCATAAAATTATATATACAAACGACCGTTTATTTAAAGTCCAATTAAAGGAGTCTTCATTGTGCGATTTTTGTTATTCAAATATAGAAACCCCGGAACACCTTTTTATATACTGCAATTACGCCCAGGTAATATGGAATGATTTACATGAAATCTTCTCAACTAATGACATTTCATTACAATTACAACTTACGAACATTCATTTCGGTTTTCTGAAAGAAACAGTTTTTAAATCATATCGTGAATTCTTATTTGTAAATCATTTAATATTTTTAACAAAATACTACCTCTACAAATCGAAAATAGAAAATATCAGACCGACAATTATTAATTATCGAAACTACCTAAAAGGTAAACAACAGATAGAAAATGAATTAAACGAAACCTTAGTAAATAAATGGGATTATACCATATGAATATTATGCATACCTCTAGTATTCCATTCCTAGTATTCCAACCCCTTAATACCTGTAGCTATCTCTGTATTTTTTTTTTTTGTTTAGTTTTTTTTATTAGATTTTATTTTCTTTGTGAATATATTTGTTCTACTCATTGTAATATAGTATAGCCTTCAACATTAAACCGAGGCTATCTGTATGATGCTACACACTGTGATTGTAATATGTGAACTATGTACTATGCTGTTATTGATTATTTAAAATAAAGATTTTTAAAAAAAAAAAAAAAAAAAAAGCTAGTGGATTGCGCTAATGAAGACGGGTATTCGCCATACAATATCATAATATGTTGTGAGAGAAATTTTGCCCGGACTACTGCATTAGTCTACTCTTATTTCGAAGAGTCAAGAGATCTATACATGAGTGCCAATGTTTTTAATTCCATCTGAAAAACTGGACATTGTTCTTGTCAGGACATCTGTTCTGCAACACTGACAATGGAAAAACCATGCCGTAAAATCTGGAATGAACCCTGAACCTCATCTGTAGTTTACTAGTGTCTTACTCACTGGTCAACTAGGATCTCAAGTAGAATGTCTAGGGTTCAAAGAAGAATCTCAGGATTTTTAAACCATATGGCTCCAACAGTGGAAATGATGCTGTCTGGGCAAAATTCTCCTCTCTAACGTTGCATATGTGATAAAATTAACCATATGTTAGTCTAAAAAAAAGACTGAAGTGTTGTGTTGACGATAAATTAATGTCTTTTCATTTCCACTCGAGGCGGAAAATATGCAAAATTGAGAAAAATCTGTCCACCTATGGCAAAGATATAATTGTTTTAATTTTCAAATATGTGAGTGGTTAATATCTATTATATATGGCAGATGAAGTTGTTTAAATCTTGAAATGTTGTACCCATTCTTGAGTATTTATCCAGCCCGGTTTTCACTTTTGTCAACGGTGCAAAACAGAAACCCATGGTAAGGGACAACATCTAGTTATTCTGATGGGACAAAAAAAAAACTGAGGTACTTTGTATAATTTGTCTACCTTCATCTTTGAAGCGTTAATTATGTTTTTTATAAATAGTTTATTGAAGACCAATCCCCAGCCTACCATGGAAGAAGTAGAACAAATAATGGATGATGTAGTATGTCGATGTACAGGTTGGTCATTCTTACTAACCCTTCATTATGTGCGTCCAGGTCACCACAAAGTGTCCACAGGAACCAATCCCTAAGCCGTTTCGATTTCTAACCTCGCATTTTTATGTCCCATATGTGATTATGTTAACACAATATTTTCCTCTTTCTCCCCTTTTTGCCAATCTGATTAAAACACAGATCCTATTTTTTTTTACGTTTTTTATAGTTCAAAATTTCGTTTTACTTCACAACACTAGGATCTGGAAGAGTTGTTATAACAGGCATTCAAGTTGATGTGAGGTATTAGCCAATGAAATGGTCTGTTACAGCGAATTCTTGGCGTACTCTGCACGAAACTGTAGGTAAACCCCTTGAAACTCAACGCTAATTGATTAACCAATTTCTGACGTCATAGGGGCAAAAGCCGCTCGTATGACCCGTGATGCGATCTGCCAGTAGAACTTGTCAGATCTTCATGTAGTGTAGGCCATCGAAAGTATAAAAAAACGGAACGAAATATACATCTGTTTTTTAATCAGATTGCCCTTATACATGGCATTTTTTTGTTGTTGATTCTTTTATATTGATGACGTCACAGCCTATAGATTCCTTTGATCAGGCCTAGAAAAAGAATTGAAACACTCAACCGCATTCAATATATTATGATATGATTGTGACAGGTTAGACTTTTGAGTTTTTATAGATAAAGATAATTGAAATGATAAAAAAAATCATATGATTGTGACCTGTTAGACTTTTGAGTATTTATAGATAAAGATAATCGAAATGATAAAAAAAAATCATTAGCAATGAAATGTCATGGCTGTAACATGTCTCACATACATGGCTATATTTACATTATATTTCTATCAATATATTATAACAGTTGTTTTTGTTATCATTTACTTTTAACTGTATATTTGTTATGTTAAATATGCTAAAGTGGCTTGAATCTAGTTAAATTTGAATGTAAGACAACTCATTTTAAGATAGAAGACCACTCATCCCACTATAGACATGTTTGTTTCAATATGTGGGCAGAGATATAAGACCACTCAGACCAATAAAATACTCAATTTATTGTTTTTTATTTATCATTATTAATTAAAGTATATATATATATATATATATATATATATATATATATATAATATTACATCAACAATTTATGAAATTACATATTACATCAAAAATTTACAAGAATAAAGTAATTAGTATTAATCTTTATATTACATCAACAGTTTATTAAATATTTTTTTTTTTTTTTCTAATATTCAAATAAATATTTTTTTATTTAGTTTTTTCTTCACATTTTTCTTCACTTTTTTCTTCACATTTTTCTTCATTTTTTTGTTCATTGTATTGGCCTGTAGATGGCTCCACTTTTTTTAATAACTGACTTGTACTAATTGTACCTGAGCACTGCAGTATAGTGCCAATCTGTTTTTGTTGGTGCCTTTTTGACTTTCTTTCGGACACCATTTTAATCTGTGACGGTAGTTGATTTGAATGGCCTCTTTATACAATAATATTAATATAAGGTAGAATTGGAGGTTTCCTTTTTTATACGCTCACATTTTCATGTGGACGTATATTGTCGTCGCCCCTGTCCGTCCGTCCACAATTTGTTTGTGGACACTCTACAGGGCACAAATCTTATCCGATTTTGACGAAACTTGAAATATAGGTTTATCTCCAAAAGATCTCGGCTGCTTTCGATATTGGCATGTATCGGATCGAAACTTCATGGATTATGGCCCCTGTTTGTACGAAAAATCACGTTTTTAGCTTGTGGACACTATAGAGGTCACAATTTTTATCCGATTTTGTTGAAACTTAAAATGTATGTTGATAACTCAAAGATCTCAGTTCCTTTCGATATTCGCGCATATCGGACGTAACTTCCTGAATTATGGCTCCTGATTGTACGAAAAATCACGTTTTTAGCTTGCGGACCCTATAGAGGTCATAATTTTTATCCTATTTAAAAAAACATATAGTGGTCATAATTTTTATCCGATTTAAAAAAACGTATTATTATATCAAGTTCGAATTTTGTGAAAATCGGCCCAAAACTGACAGACAAAATGGCCGCCCTTCCTTCTCAAATAGCGTAAAAATATGGTATATCAAGGTTGTGGACCCTATAGATGTCACAATTTCTATCCGATTTTGTTGAAACTTGAAATGTAAATTTATAACCCAAATATCTCGGTTCCTTTCGATATTCGCGCATATCAGACCGTAACTTCCTGAATTATGGCCCTTATAATTGTACAAAAAATCGCTTTCTTTTTAGCTTGTTCTCTATCCATCTCTCGAAAATATGGGCGTATCCTGCCTGGCAGCTGCTGGTTTTGCCTTCTGGTTCATTCGGTTGTGTCATTGTTCGTTCTTATCGTTCTACCAAATACTCTCCACGTTGGGATACTTCAGACACTGTTTGTCATCCATCTTCTATCTTAGGATGAGTTGTCTTCTTTTTGGTCCAGTGGTCTTGGGATGAGTTGTCTTCGGGATGAGTTTTCTTTGGGATGAGTTGTCTGGATACTGTTACACCCCCCCCCCCCCCCGCAAGCATACACTCAAATACATAATAAGAGTTACCTCCCATATCTGTGAGACAGTCAATTCTACTTTTACTTGACATACATGTAATATCTCCACTCTTTGTAACATTTGTAATGTGATTTTATATTGCTGTCACCAATTCTGTCCGTCCATGTGTCATCCACTGAACACAATAAAATCCACAATAATCCATATGTACTTTCTTTAAATTGATGTGTGGCTTGCATTGTCTATCTCATAGAAATAAAGAAGCTTTTTAATTTGCAAGAATTTATGATATCTTTCAGAGTTAGTACCCTTTGTTACAAAATCTAGTTATGATCGGATCATTCTGAAATTTATGCTGGTTATGTATTCTATTGAATTGATGTACCCTATTGATTTTTGATAATAACACCCAGTTTGTCACCTTCTTTATGAAATCTTGTTTGTGCCATGCTATAAGTATGGTTTAATGGTCGAGTGCAAGACTTAAGTAATATATGGATATTGCACGAGTGCGATAGCAAGAGTGCTATATCCATATATAACGCAATGTCTTCCACAATACTCTGTAACCCAGGTATCGTTTAATCTTGTGTATCTAGCACTAATTTCTTTCACATTCATTTAATATCAAATCTTTGTTTAAAAATTCGTAATAATCGTTTAAAATCACCAAAAATCATCTAATTTGTACATGTGTCCAGTTTAAAGCTGACTGATTAATTTTGATAATGAGTGTCCAATTTACAAGTATTAATTTCCTGATCACTGTTCAAAAATTAATCATTATACATCATTAATCAATTGGATTGTTTATTTTTTAACAATGATTGAGAAATTAAACACTTGTAAATTGGACACTCATTATCAAAATTGAATGGTCAGCTTTAAACTGGACAGAAGTACAAATTAAACAATTTATGGTGATTTTAAACAGTTTTTACAAATTTTTAAACAAAGATTGGATATTAAACGAATGTGAAAGAAATTAGTGCTAGATACACAAGATTAAACGATACCTGGGTTACAGTGATACCATTAAACAACTTAAAATACAGACACTATCCAGCACGTGCATTTGTCACGCGGGTCCAGTATTGAAATATTGGTAGCCCTACACCAACATCAAAGGATGAGGTCACATCTGTATTTTAATAATGATAAATAATTGATGACAACTGGTTATCTCTGTTTTCATCAATTGAAGTCAATGAAACACATCCAATTTGGAGTTTTTAGAGAGAGAGAGAGAGAGAGATGTTTAACATCACTCAACACAAACTAGGTCATTTCGAGACTAACTTGGTTCAATTTTATTTAAATTATTCACTTGCTGGGGTCTTTTAGCTTTGGAAGGAATCTGGAGGACCTGGAGAAAACCTACAAGGTTGAACAGACAACCCTAGCTTCACGTAGAAGCAGGGAATCGAAACCACGCCATTTAACTCAATAACATACCTTATGAGCTAACGTCCACGCGTTAAACTATTCAGCCACCCAGCTCCCTACCTCTAATAATAAATAGACTGAGAAGAAAATCAAAAATAGGTATTAATTTTCTTTATTTCCACAGGTTACAGATCAATACTGGATGCAATGAAATCATTTTCTGCTGATGCTGGTCCTGATCTTCCTGGTGGTCTAATTGATATTGAGGTAAATTCTCTAAACTTCTCTACATTTATTGCAGCTTAAAAATTATGTTGAATCTTCAAAATTGGGCTTCCACAGTGGCTCAGTTGGTAAGGCGCTGGTCGACTAACTAGGAAGTTCGGGTTCAATCCCGGTGATTGTTGAGATAGTTCTTTGGACTTTTTATAGTTTATACGCCCACATTTTCATGTGGACGTATATTTTCGTCGCCCCTGTCCGTTCGTCCGTCCACAATTGTTTGTGAACACTCTACAGGTCACAATTCTTATCCGATTTCAACGAAACTTGAAATATAGGTTTATCTCCCCAAGATCTTGATTCCTTTCGATATTGGCATGTAACGGACCGTAACTTCATGGATTATGGCCCTGATTGTACGAAAAATAGCGTTTTTAGCTTGTGAACACTGCAGAGGTCACAATTTTTATCCGATTTGGTTTAGCTTGAAATGTATGTTTATAAACCTTTCGATATTCGCGCATATCGGACCATAACTTCCTGAATTATGGCCCCTGATTGTACGAAAAATCGCGTTTTTATCTTGTGGACCCCATAGAGGTCACAATTTTTCCTTGATTTAAAAAAAAACGTGTGAATATATCACCGTTACACCCTAAGGATGGTTGAGCTCGAATTTCATAAAAATCAAACCGAAACTGACAGACAAAATGGCCGCCCTTGTTTGCAGATAGTGGCAAAATATTGCGTATCAGGGTTATGGACCCTCTGTAGGTCACAATTTTCATCTGATTTTGATGAAACTTGAAATGCATTTTTATAACCCACAGATATTGGTTCCTGTCGATATTCGCGCATATCAAACCATAACTTCCTGAATTATGGCCCCTGATTGTACGAAAAATCACGTTTTTAGTTTGTGGACCCCATAAAGGTCACAATTTTTATCCGATTTAAAAAAACGTTTGAATATATCACCGTTACACCCTAATGATGGTTGAGTATGAATTTCGTAAAGATCGGATTGAAACTGACGGACAAACTGGCCGACCCTCGTTCGCAAATAGTGTCAAAATATTGTGTATCAGGGTTGTGGACCCTTTAGAGGTCACAATTGTCATCTGATTTTGATGAATTTTGAAATGCATGTTTATAACCCAAATATCTTGGTTCCTTTCTATTTTAGCGCATATCGAATTGTAACTTCCCGAATTATGGGCCCTGATTTTACGAAAAATCATGTTTTTAGCTTGTGGTCCCTCTAGAGGTCACAATTATTATCCGATTTGAAAAAAACGTTCGAATATATCATTGTTACACTGTAATTTTGTCTGAGGTTGAGTTTCATGAAAATTGGACCAAAATTGCCAGACAAAATGGTCGCCCCTCGTACGCAAAAAGTGTAAACATCTGGTATATCAAAGTTGTGGATCCCCTATAGGCCATAATTTTGATCCGATTTTGATGAAACTTGACATGCATGTTTATAACCCAAAGATCTCGGTTCCTTTCAATATTCACGCATATCAGATCGTAAGTTCCTGAATTATGGCCTCTGGTTGTATAAAAAATTGCGTTTTTAGTTGTGGTCCCTCTAGAGGTCTCAATTGTTATTTGATTTAAAAAAACGTTCGAATATATCACTGTTACACCATAATGTTTGTTGACTTTGAAATTCATGAAAAGTGGGTCAAAATTGCTGGACAAAATGGCTGCCCCTTGTACGCAAATAGTGTAAACGTCAGGTAAATCAAGGTTGTGGACCCTCTAGAGGTGAAAATTTTGATCCGATTTCGATGAAACTTGAAATACATGTTTATAACCCAAAGATATTGGTTCCTGTCGATATTCGCGCATATCGGATCATAACTTCTTGAATTATGGCCCTTGATTGAACAAAAAATCACGTTTTTAGCTTGTGGTCCCTGTAGGGGTCACAATTTTTAACGGATTTAAAAAAACGTGTGAATATATATCCATTACACACTAAGATCTTGGTTCCTTTTGATAATCGCGGATACCCGAACTTAACTTCCCTTTTGATATTTGCACATTTCAGGCCGTCACTTTCTGGATTGTACAAAAAATCTCATTTGTTATTAGCTTGATCTCTATCCATCTGTTGCAAAATGTGGGCGTATCCTGCCTGGCAGCCGCTGGTTCATTGTGGTTTTCCCATGTCAGTGGTATTGGATGTAGGGCCTGTTAGGAACATGCTTTTGTGCACATAAAAGACCCCTTGACACTCTGGGTTCGGTGAAGATATAAACTGTATCGTATTATGTTCACAACTTCTTGGAGCCACAGTGGCTAAATGGGTAATACTGTGGCTCACTAGCCTGGAGGTGGCGGGTTTGCTCCCGGTGTTGGCCGAGAAAGTGCATCAAGATTTTCCGGTGTGTTCTCCTTTTGTCAGTGATGCAGTACAGAGAGCCTGACAAGGTCAGCTGTCTAGTCGTTTAAATGGGGCGAAAAATGGAGGACCCGTGTACACATTGGCGTGCATATAGAAGATCCCTTGGCAGTTGGAATTCGATATAATAGTAGGCCATAGGGCTGCTGTTCGGGCACAATTTTCCTCATAGCACACTGTATGGTGTATGCCCATCTTCATTAGCCTAGTGGAAGCAGAACAGTAGGACGTTAACCCCCATTTCATTTAAGCCATCGGAAGTATGAGAAAAACAAAACGTAATATATAGATCTGTATTTTAATCAGATTGATTTTGTTTTGAGTTTAAGACAAAATAATCAACATTTATAATTTATTGTCTATCCACAGTGTCATTCAACCCACCAACCCAGTTCTATTGGTTTTTCATTTGGATGCAAGTGTTCAAATTTTGAGACAATCCCTTATCTCTAATGTTTTCTAGTAACAGGGGTCGGCCGTATAATGGCTGCTGTTTTTTGTTTAACTTTGTGACAAACCTAATTGTCTCCCTTTATTCCTGTGTAACCTCTACATCATGATAGGATTTAGAGAGAAAGATTTGTAAGAAAACTGGTAATCCATGTACTGGAAAATGTTCTTCTGACCAACCACAGACCATGTTACATATGGTGACGGCTGGAAGTCAGTGGTTAAAACCAACCAATAAACAAGAGCTTTGCACATTACTAAACCAACATAAGGCAGATAATTACAGACTTCTACATGGTAACACTGGCTTTGGTGAGTATGAAATAGTCACACTGTGATTACCGTATTTAAACAGAGCTATGTTTCTATGTCCCTTGTATACATTGGCATGCACGTAAAAGATCCCTTTGCAGTTGGAATTCATTATAATAGTAGGCCATAGTGCCGCTGCCCTGGCAAAATTTCCATCATAGCACACTGTATGGCATATGCTGTCTTTATTAGCCCAGTCAGAGCAGAACAGTAGGACGTTAAACCCTATTTTTTTTATAGTTCATTGGTATAGATAAATTCATTTAAATCTAACCATTTCTCAGCTCCACTCAATTCCAGCCAATTTTTTTCATGTTTATCCAAACTCCATACAAATCAACCCAAACTGATCCAAATCCCCACACATCTACCTAAAACAATCTAAAACCACTCTTCATCTTCCGCAAATTCAACCCAAATTCACCCAAATCTACCTAACATCAGAAACCATTCAACTTCACCCACATCAAGATGTAAATCAACTCAAAAGAATGCAAAACTACCCCAACCGAACCATTCAACTTCACCCAAATCAATCCATGTTCACACGAATCTACCTAAAGTCATCTAAAACCATTCAACTCCACCCATTTCATTTCACCCAAATCAACCAAAATCCAGACACCCAAAGTTAGCTAAAACCATTCAACTTCACCGAAATCCATCTAAAATCAATTCATAATATTAATATATTAATTTACAGGTGTATATAAAGATATTGGTGATTGGAATTATTCTGTTTTGATTGATATCAGAGGTGTTGTAGATTTCAATATAATTCACGTAAGTTTCACTGATTTCATGTATAAATAGTATGTTTGTTGTAGGGGGTCAAGTTATCTAATAAAGCCACCACACAAGGGTTCAGTTTCACAACGGTTTATTTGATATCCAGTTAAAAAAAAACAACCCTGAAAGTATACAATTTCAATATAAATTATACAATCAACATATAAAATCAATGCATTCATTTCATTCAAATAATATATTACATATTAATATTAAAACACCTCTAAATCTATATATACTGATATATATACGGTACTTAAGCTATTATAATAGTCAATACTTTAAAAGAAAAAAAAAACACCTGTTACCCAGCATGAAATATGCAGAAACTTGCAGGCTCTTAATTATAATAAAGCTAATTAATAAAATATAATGTCTTACCCTGAAAAGGGGTTTTCCTGGCTAACCAGACTTGTCAGAAGGTGAAGTACCTATAAAGTCTGTAATAAAATATATGAGTTGTATGAAAGTAATAATGTATAGCCTAGATTTAAAGTGGAATGCTTTAAATACCGTTAATATTATTTGACTATATGTATATATAAGGTGTATTTGCAGAATACATTAAACAAAAACCAGATGAACTTAAACTTGACTATTGAAACTTTACTAATAAAACTAACATGGCCGCCACTTTAACAAAGAAAAATGAATTATAAAACATCTAAAAGTTTACACATAACTTTAAACTCTATCCTGGAACTTTAATAAAAACAACTGCACTAGATTATATTTAAATTGAAGAAGATTCAACCATAAAAAAACCTATCAAACTAAATACAGACTAAATTTATGAATGACAGAGAATGAAAGTATCCTCTGACCTTCATGAAATCATAAGTAAGGATGACCATAGTAATGGTGTTACAAAACAAAGAAAACCTCGGGTCAAAGTTGAAATAAACTACCAGTGAGCTGGGTGAACTGGAACTCACTGGAAACCTTTAGGAAAAGTTTATAGAACAGGATAGTTTAAAGAGACAGTGATGTGTAACATATTATCTAAGATTAAATTAGCATTGTGACCATATTAAAATACCCATAAAATAAATAAAACCACTCTACCACATGTTATTCAACAAATATTCTGGAAGCCAAGCTGTATGGTGCTTAAAGTATGTGGAGGGGTATCAAAAAAAATTTGACCCCGGAAAGTACCAGAAGATTGGGATTCGATCAAGTCCTTGGGATTGGCTTTCACTTGCACAGTGGAAACACATTCCAAATTTTTAGCACCTCGTTGCTTGAGCTCATCGTCTATGAAACCCACTGCCCATTCCGAATCTAGATTGTGTATTGGAGCACTATAGGTTTTCTGAATTCATTCCTGACAGAACAATATCTGATTCAAACAGCCTGCATTTAAGTTTTTTTCTCAAGAACGTTTCGATCAAACAAAGTTCAGCCAAGATATATGCGAGTCACTTGGCAAAGCAATTGAAGGCACACGCTCAGAGGTGAAATGGTCATCACTATGCTACTATTTAAACTAGCTGCCGGTTTTCAACGCAAGAAGGGATATTTGGATTTGGGTCCTGTAGCGGATAATTAGATATTGCAATGAGGCGCTATAAACTTGAAATTTGCATCCACTGTGCAAGTGCAAGCCAGATCCCAGGACTTGATCGAATGACAGTCTTCTGGTACCTTCCTAGGATATAGTAATATCGCTAAGTATGAAATTCCTGCTGTAATGAAAACGTGGGACAAGAAACAGAAGCTTTTGCATCAACAGGGTCTAGCTGTCAAGGAAAAAGCAAACTTATTCTGTGACAAAAGACGAAACAATCATTCGATTATATCGAAGTAAAATATGCTTGAGATACAGCCTTATCATGAGTACCTAAACAAAGTGATAGATTCCGTTTTTTAAAGGACCATAAACAGCTGCCAGCATCTGTTTATGGGGCCAATTGGAAGGCCTACGTAAGCAATCTCAATTGTAAAGCAGTGATTTGAATTCAGTTCGAGATAGCTTAACTTTGCCAAAATAATTATATTATGTAATCTATTCGAATTGATGAATATTTCACCACATGATAAATATGTTCTTAGTGGTTTCTTTTTTGTTTGAAATCGGGGATCACGTGGCTAAGTGGATAAGACACTAGCTCGTTAGCCTGGAGGTCAGGTGTTCGATCCCTGATTTGGCCGAGAAAGTTCATCCAGATTTTCCGGCGTGGTTCTCCCTTGTCAGTGATGCAGGATGGAGGGGCTGACAAGGAAAGCTGTCTAGTCGTTTGGATGGGACGAAAAACCGGGGTCCTGTGTACACATTGGCGTGCACGTAAAAGATCCCTTGACAGTTGGAATTTGATATAAGAGTAGGCCGTAGTGCCGCTGTCCAGGCAAAATTTCTCTCATAGCACACTGTATGGCATATGCCCGTCTTCATTAGTCCATTTCATTTCATTTCATTTTGTTTGAAATCACCACAAATTTGGATTCTACGCCCTCGAAAACATAGTAGTCGACATATTACAACACTATTTTTTGTCGAAAGGCAAAAAATACATATTTGCAGTGCCATTTTGGCCTCCATATTGGATTGAGCCATATTGGATTATCACGGGTCATTTTCAATGTCATATTCAGACTTGCAGACCACGAAAACCTACATATCAACCTGTGAAAGACATTCTAAAAAATTGGGTCAATTGGTCAATTTTTTATGTACCAGTACTTTAATTTTGTTTATTATCCCAATTTTTTAAAAAGGGATCTGGTGGTCTTTAAAAATAATAATAATAATGGATTTGTATAGCGCCTCGTATCCAAAAAGTTTGCTCACTGGCGCTGAGTTAGTCCGTCACATTTACAACAGTTTCCCATCATCTGCACTGAATAGGTGTTTTTAGCAAGGATTTGAATTTACACAATGATTTCGCATCCTTAATATGTGATGGCAGCCTTTTCCACAGTTTAGGAGCAGCAACAGAAAAACTTCTGTCTCCACATTTCACATAATTTGGTCTCGGGATTTCTAATTGAATTTTGTTTGAGAGATTTTTTAATCCCGTGAAATCTTTAAAAGGGATATTAGTCTAAACATGGTTGAATTCTGTTCAATAATAACAAAGATCAGATAATTTGTAAACGATTTTAATGATATAAACAAAATCACTGAAAAAGACAAATCTGTTCGAAACGACATGACAAGTCTGTGCGAGAGAAAATGACAGGCACCAGACGAATATTTCGAATAAAGCCTGAATTTGTGCTGGACAATGTGTGTAACCGGTGCCTTGTGTTCCCGCTCATGTGTGTGTGTGTGGGCTGTTGTGACTTGATTGTAGTAGTAGTAGTAGTAGTAGTAGAAGTAGTAGTAGTAATAATGGCTTTATTTTATGAGGGAACATATTTGATATATGAGTTCTAATTTTCAACATGTCCCTCCTACTATAAAACTAGCAGCTACACAGTAACAATATTTACAAATTATATATCATATTATATCAGCTTATCAATGGGAAAAATCAAATAAACAAGAAAGGAAAAATGGCAAATAAACATAGATTCAGAAGACAAAAGTAATTAACAAGGGCTTAAATGATTTGACATATTATACCTTTTGAAAAAAGAAATTAAAGATGAATGTTTCACAGTTTGAGGTAGTGAATTCCAGAATGTCATTGTGTAATTGATGTGTGATTTAAGTTTGAATTAATGGTTTCTTTTGTCTACAGCAAGGGGGAAAAACTCTAAATCTTGGTGCCAACTTGACGATAACGAATCTACTGGAGTATTTCAATACAAAAGCTGCTGCTGGTAACGACAGAATGACATCATTCTACTCAAATATTTCTCTACATTTAGAAAAAATTGGTACAACTTCTATTAGAAATGTAAGTAAAATTATTAGAAATGCTGACCTGCCAAGGGATCTTTTACATGCAGGCCAATGTATAGACGGGACCTCGTTTTTTTGTCACATCTGAATGACTAGACAGCTGTACTTGTCAGGCCCTCCGTCCTGCACCACTAACAAGGGAAAACCACGTCGGAAAATCTTGATGAACTTTGTCGACCAAAGCATGGATCATAGTTCCTCCCATAAAAGATGATCCAACAGTTGTCATGGGTCTGTCACTAACTCATGGTCTAGTTTGTGTTAGGAGGACATTATAAACATCAACTATTGGTGTGTATCAAATTACAGGTGTTAGTTGATTTGAGAAGCCTATATGTATAATTCTGATATTGTATTTTATGTTCCAGCTTGGAACTTGGGCTGGAAACCTGATGATGAAGAACAAACATCCAGAGTTTATATCTGATATCTACGTTATATTTGAAGCTATGAAAACCCTTCTGGTTATTGGTAGGTTATATAATGTATTAAAATGAAATGGGGTTGAATGTCCTCCGTCCTGCACCAATGACAAGGGGAAACCACACCGAAAAATCCTGATCAACTCTCTTGGCCAACACTGGGAGCGAACCTGTGACCTCCAGACTACCCACTTAGCCACCGTGGCTCCAAATGTATTGAATTATTATGATATAGCAAAACGAATTTAAATTATAATGAATGGGATCTGTCTATCCTTCCATGATGGAACTTTGTACACACATCAACCTCAGTGGCGGATTAAGCTCCACCAAGGCCTGAGGCGGCAGTTGCTGGAGGGCCTATTTAGTTTTTAAATAGGGCCTATTTAAAATGGCGTGGGCCTAATTAATTTCGGGTCAGGGCCTATGTTGATTACCGGTGGGCCTAAACCCAACCCCCCTAACATTCATTGTCTATGCGTTTTTAATCGTATCAGACAAGTCTAAAAATTTTTTTTTTACAAAATCTTTGGGCTTGAGGCTGCAGCCTCATCAGCCTCACTGATAATCCGCTACTGATCAACCTGTTATAGTAGTCTGGCTTTGCTAATTAAATTTTTTTTGAATTTGATAATTTTGATGTTTCCTTGGAAACATGTTTGACTTTATGATGACTAAGTTTTCTTATTTGGGGGGGGGGGGGGCCCACATGAACGTATTACAGAAGTTGTGCCTTTTCTGAGTGATCTGGA